TTTATTAATTAAATATAAGAAGGAGATCCTTCTAAACCTTAATCTTAACAAAGAAATCCTAAGCCTTTTTGCGAATGCGAATCACTTATATTTAAAGCAACGACGTGCTATACGTATAGCAACCTTACGTAAGTTACGTGTGGCAGCCTTACGTAAGTTACGTATGGCCGCCTTACGTAAGGTATATGTGGCAGCCTCACGTAGGTTACGTATGGCAGCCTTACGTAAGTTACGTGTGGCAGCCTTACGTAAGTTACGTATGGCAGCCTTACGTAAGGTATATGTGGCAGCCTTACGTAGGTTACGTGTAGCAGCCTTACGTAAGTTACGTATAGCAGAATTAATAGCGGTAACTGAATTAGGCTTAGCTAGGCTGCTCCATGGGGCCCTATAGGGCCCCACGGAGTTTTGAGTCCTCCCCACGGGGGAACCCACGGGGGGTACAAAATTCTGCCCTTCTTTATAAAGAAACCCTATGGGGCGTAAGGTTACTTTATAAGGTTTATATATATAAAAATATGCATATGCATAATTACTAATCAAGTTTACTAATCACATTTATTAATCACATTTATTAATCACATTTACTAATCATATTTACTAATCACATTTACTAATTAGAGACTTAAAGTATTAGTCAAATTTATTAGTTATAAAGGCTTAAGGGTTAGTAAAAACCCGTTCTTTAGCTTAAGTCTACTAGTTATAAAGAGTTGATAAAGACCCGTCTTTTTGCAGTTACGTAGAATACGTTCAACTCGGTCTCCGCTTTTAGCCCAAGCTCTTGCTTATAAGCATAGTTCAAATAAATCTCGTCTGACTCAAGTAGCTCTCTTAGCTTTTAGCACTTGTTGCTCTACTTAAATTCATTTTCATCCGAGAACTTAAAGGTGAAGCGTTTGTATATTAAAATGCTATCGATAGTGAAAAGGTATAGCATTAATAGCTCTTTTAAGATGCTTTTAGCTTCGGCATAATCGCTATCGAAAAGCTTAAAAATAAAATCACTTAAGATCAATCGAACTTTAACATTTTTATAAGTGAATTGCTTTTTAATTGCGTTAAAGAAAGAGACAAAGTGGTCGAAGAGATAAAGGACTTGAGCGCTCTCTTTTTAAATAAAAAATCAATTAATGATCATAGAATATAAATGTTATTATTAACTTTATTAGCACCGTAATGCTTGATGCCGAACTCGTCGACAAAACCTTTGCGACCTTTTCATTCGTAATCGAGGCCGATTAATCTTAGAAACAAAGCGGTATCTTCTCCGTTATAGCAAGTAAACATTAAATTAACAACGCTACTATCAGCATAAACGATTACGAAATCCTTATAGCGATTAAGTATCTCGTTGATTAGCTTGTTGCTATTAGTGCTAAAAGAGTTGACCTCGATTATAGCGTTATAAGAAAAAGAAATCGACATTGCTAAATAAAGAAAATAATTAGCTTGAAACAAAGAATCAAAAAGCAAAAAATCAAAAGGAAAATAATTACTTAAGTTGAATGTAGTTATAGTTGAGTGTTAAAGTTGGTTAAAAAGTTGAAGTTAAGTATTAAAGTTAAAGTTAAGAAATTAAATGTTAAGGTTAAAGTTGAGAAGTTGAGTGTTAAAGTAATAATAAAAAAAAGAAAAAGAAAAAGAAAAGGAGCGAGTACTTATATAAAAATAAAAGTATAACTTAATCGTAATCGAAGCATTGC